TCTGATGAACAAATTAGTTTGAGCTTACATAATTGTATAATTCAAAACTCTTGAATCGAAACTTCAAGAAGGAAACTAGCACAATTTAAAATAGGAGAACAAGCTCTTGTCTATTTTCCACTTACCCGGTAGTGATGCGATTTAGTGACTAGGTGAGAATAGTTGAAAATTACACTAGAGATTAAACTTAAAAGAAGAGAAAGGAATGGATTTAAAGAATCGCATTTTCGATTACTCCATGAGAATATACACACATCTTCTCTTATGCCAAAAAAACTAGCTGTTAATACTAGCTTATATAGTTTGCAGTAGTGTTATTAGTCACTCCAGGTCGCCTTAAGCGAATTAGAAGTAGATAGTGGAGTTTCTTTCATTACAAAATGAGTATACATCACGATACAATTAAATTTCAGTCAGCTTTGTATCCAAAAAGACTCTCCCGTACAGGCTAGAGTGCAATTTAGGCTCCCTCTTACAGAACTAGATTACTAGGTAACAAGAGGTAGCCATTCTGCGACAGTCAAAGATGCCAGTGAGTCATAGAGCAGATGTGATTTTCAATGCAAGTAAGGTTTCCCAAAAATATCAAAGATGTCGATGAGGCAACTATGTATTTGCCATTAAAATCGACAACGTTCTTATAGTAAGTTTAAGTAAGTTCTTATTAATATGGTAGTAATAGTTTCAAAGCATAATCAACCCGAATATATAAATAACATCTCCGATTTTAATGGCCAATAGATGGTTACTTTATCGAAAATCCGACCTTAAATGCGAGTTGAGAGAGGCCTGACTGCTTGAAATCCACATCTGCCTCGTGACTCACTGGCATCCGTGGCTGCATTGTGGAGTGGTAGCATAATGCCACGATGCGCACGACGATGACAACGAAGTTAGGCCGAAACTAGGGTTTAGATTGTATGAAAAGAAATTTTGAGAGAAAAGGCCAGGTAAAATTCAAAGCACCATGAGGTCTACTCCTTTTATGATGGGTGAGACTCCACCATCCGCCCTTAAATTACCGTAAGCGACCTACAGTGATGAAGTTCATATTCAAGAATCATTGAGGGTTTCAAAAAGTACTCAAACCAAATATAGCCTCACTAATTATGTGAGCTATCAATGCGTATGGTTAGTTTCAGTGCGACAAACCTTCTAGAACGTATAAAGATACAACAATTTCCAGATACTTATGATATTAGAATAATATACTGCGAAAAATAGCCCAAAAATAATACTAAAGAATCTATAAAAAGTAAAGATATTCCAATGGCATTAGGACTAAAGTAATAAAAATAGTTGCAGCAAGATTATTGGATTGGAGGGAGCCAGTTAATGCCAGTAAACTCTATGGGAGCTAAATTGTTTTGAATAACAAACCTGGAGCAGGGGTCACTGGACTGTATTCTGGACGGGGCAAGTGGGCCGGCCTGGCAGCAATCAGAGCCGCGGCCTGATTCAAGGCCTCAGCTCGACTACCAAGGTCATAGATAGGTGCCGCGATCTGGCGAGGATCAATGCGAGGCCTGAGCTTCTCGGTCACAATAGAGGTGCCGTTGTCAGAACTCGTCAGACCTGATCCTAACACATCACCGCCTTCCTGATTATTTACCTGATTAGATATTGTCTGCTGGAACTGTTTTGAATGACTGGAGCTCAAAGATAAAGGTGTCAAAGAAGATTCTTGTAAGGTCGAAGAATGCATAACTGCTGCTGATGGCATGCAACTACTGAGGCTGTCCTCACAATTACTCGAGACAGGAAGCGAGTTCGGGGACAATGAAGGAGGATGGATAAATATATGTCTTTGGCAAGTAGATCTGCAATCTCTAGTCCCAGAGTGATAGGAATCCTGGTGTCCGGACTGTGTAGGCTCCACTTGGCTTCCACTGCTACTAATCGAAGCGGAGCCGGAAAAAGCTGGGGGTGAAGGGTAGACAGACTTTTGCTGCAACTGTTGAGGGTAGTGGTGAGAAGCAATCAGTGGGATCAAGAGGGGAGGTGGTGGTTGCCGAGAATTATGCTGCAGAATGCCTCGACTTAGACCACCTCCAGTATGCAATGCAGAAGAGGCTTGGATACTTAGGGTCTGTAAGACAGGAATGTAAATGCATAGGAATAAACATGGCTGATATGCGGTGATCACGTAGCAATGCCTAAATCCCCTAATTAACAATAAAGCAAAATATAATAGTGGACCCGAAGTAATATATGTGAGACCTAGTAGAATAAGAAAATAAACCTTGGCGCTTTATTCGACCCTTACTAGTACTGGTAGAATATGCGAGTGACATCAGACTTTTTTGGTTCGGGAGAATTACGGCATTTTTACACAGTTAGGTAATATTAATTTCGGTATGACTAAGTTGTGTGCATTGTTTCTTACCTTCGGTTAGATATCGTTCCCATAGGTATCGCAAATCTCTGGCTTCGTAGGCTAATTGGAAAAAAGCATATTCGTATTCTTTTAAAGTATCCATGGCTCTATTCAACAGTGAAAAATTGAAAGAAAAATGAGTCAAAGCATTTTTGCAGAGATAACTTACAATGGGACTACAAAGAGCAGAGAATATCCATGTTGCAAAGAGTACTTCGGTTGAGAATTCTCACATGACTCTTCCTCCTTTTGACAACAGGCTACTATGACTCATGAAGACATATGCATAATTTATTATTTTTCGAATTAAGTATTGTTTTCGTGACTACCAGCAAATCAGTAATATGAGATGTATTCACCCAATTTCGTGTAAGGTGATGAAGGACTGGTATAAGAAGAATTTTCCCACAATGATATAAGGTAAGCTGACGCATCGACCGATGCGAGGTGGAAACTGCAGTCCATCCTGGATGAGAACAACCTTTGGGAAATTCAATGGAAGCGTCAGCTCACCTTATAT